GTTATTAAGATTTTTTAAAAGTTTTTTCAAAAGCTTTTAAAAATGATTAGCAGATGCTTCATATGAAAGGATRGCCTCATCCCATTGAGAGTATAACATGCTTAACAAGTGACAGTAATTGTAGTGAAACAGTTAATCAAGTTATTTGTTAGTTTTACATATGTGTTTTGTAAAGATTATAAATTACCTCATTGAGTTTTGTTTACTGAATGGTGGCACAATTAATGACTCAGAAGAGATATATAAAAGTCATCCCTCATTTACTAGTACAGAAAATAAAAGATTTTAATGGCTTTGTAATTTTTCCTTCAATAATTTTCAGAATTTTTCTTAACTAAATTTCCCATATTAGCATAATTTATAAACAATTCCATCTGAATGAAAGTCATTTAATTTTTTCTAAAGTAATTTTCTTCTATGATGATCCTATTATTAATGGGGTTCTATACAAATYTCACCTAAATATATCATGAAATTTCCTCCTACATAAAATATAACAGAGGGAAACTAAATTTAATAGTAACAATTAAGTTCTGGCTATTCTACCAACCTGTGTAACTGTCAACAGACCTATTTAGCTTTACTGGGCCTTGATTTGATGACTTTTATAGATAAAATATTGTACTAGATTATCTCTGAAATCTCTTCCAGTCTTTATTTGAGTATCAGTATTTAACCAAAATTCAAGTAATATTCATTTTAGAACTTTATTATAGATAAGCAGTCTGCCTTCAGCTTATTAATTCAACTATTATCTAGCAGATAAATGATATTTGGTTAATTTTCTTCCCATCCAGTGTTGTTTTCACCARATGCAGACAGACTTCATATTTAGATTTGCATTTGTAACCAGATTTTAAGAAGCAGTAAGGCTGTTATTTTTAGGCTGATGGACTCCCATTTTTTTCCTTCCATATCATCTGTCGGCTGAAATCTTTCTGAGTTTTCCCCTCCCCCATCCTCAACCCTATCCAGGGCCCAGGACCAAACTCAGGTCCTTGAGCATGGGAGGCAAGCAGTCTGCCACTGAACTAAATCCCCAATCCCTCAGAGGTATTCTTAGTTCTTCATACTTAATATATCTCCGTTTACATCTTTAGTTCTGTGAGGCCAAAGAATCAATAAATGAGAAGTAAAACAATTACATGTGTGTCTGTTTCCTGTTTACCTAAAATTGTATAACTAGGTCACCTTCAGTAGTAAACTAAGTGGAAGAGTTGTTAGTAATGTTGATAAAAATGCCATTGATTCCTCTCATTAACGTTTATTGGATCCCTAGCCTGACGAACATGGTTGAGTAGTGAGGACACAGGTAAATTTGCTTCCTTAAAGGAATTCACAGTCTCATTGGTAAGAGAAACATTAGAACACACCATTATATAACAAGTGCAGTAATTGACCTGAATTTATAGAAACAGAGTACCTAATCTAGTCTGGAGAAATTAAAAGAGGCCACCAAGAGAAAGTAATTCTGAATTGCATATTGATTGAAGACAATGGTGGGCCCTATGTCATTTCCCCACAGAGTGGGTACTGTGAACAAATATCATATACAGAAAAAGCTGAGTTAATGTGGCGTATGTAGGAATTATAATCAAATCTGGTGTTGCTAGTGTGCCATATGTAAGGCAGGAAGCGGTAAAAATTCATACTACCGTAGAGCCCTTGCCTCTCATGCATGAGGCCCTGGGTTTGGTCCCCAGGACCACGTAAAAATAAACAAATAAAAAAAGAATAATAAAGATATTTTTAAAAATTGATACTACCATTTTAGATTATTGGTATCAAGAAAAAGAGGTCTCAAGTTCCATGTTTGAGAGTTTGGACCTAAATCTATAAGCARTAAGACAGCATTCAAGTGTTTGAAGGAAGGAAATAACTTATTGGGATTTAGTTTCATTCATTTCATAATCATATTCTATAATTTTTAAAAGATGAAGTTGGTCATCAGAAGGCCACATCGAAAATAATTTTTATGCTTTATTATTTGTATTCTTCTAGACCCACTTTTCTTCCTAAGATCTGATAATTCTTTATCAAAAATTCCATAGTGGGGCTGGGGATGTGGCTCAAGTAGTAGCGCACTCGCCTGGCATGTGTGCGGCCTGGGTTCGATCCTCAGCACCACATACAAACAAAGATGTTGTGTCCGCTGAAAACTAAAAAATAAATATTAAAAAAATTCTCTCTCTCTCTCTCTCTCTCTCTCTCTCTCTTTCTCTCTTTCTCTAAAAAAAAAAAAAAATTCCATAGTGACTTTAAGTTATCTAAAAACACATGAAACTCTACTGTATTCTTTATCATCCCCATTTCTAGAATTATGTGCACATATATATTTTCTGAAATGTGTTTGGTTTTTAATTTTAGGGTTTTTTTTTAAAGACAAAGTTATCACTGTTRATAATAAATCATTTTAAATGTAAAAATATATTTTTCAATGTATAGATGGGGCCATAATTTAATAAGACTTCTTGCTTTTGGTATTTTGTTTCAATTTATGAAGCACAACTGCTTCTGAGCTACCAGAGACACATACCAGTTAGTTCACTTGAGGAGTCCTGACTCTTCCTCAGKTAACCTGGTGATAAGCTACCTCAGCAGGGAGCATGCAGAGCTCTGCTGATGCTAGTGCTGGGATTCAAACTTCCTGGGCCTTTGGCATCCAAGAACTCCAGTTACCATACCGAGGGGCTTCTGACCTCACTTGTCTCTTCTCAACTATTCTAAAAGTATGCAGAATAGCAGGGAAATGGGTGCCTTACCTAGGGCACAATACATGATGCATCCAGCCAGGCCCAGCCTCTGTATGCTTCTCCCATAGGATGGGAGGAGTTGGAGTGACATGAGCACTTTGCTGGCCTTGAGTCTAAGTTTCCTGATTCTCATGTCATATGGCATCTGCCCTTGCCCCTGAACAACAAAAGTTGAACTGTATTCGTGCCTTAACTAAACTTTCTCAACCTAGATATTCATCTAAAACAAAATAGTAATATTAATTATTACTTTCTGTGTCAAGATAGCAAATTTCATGGTTTTTTTTTAAATCAAAGCTATAAAAAAGCATTAAACACTCTATATGACTTTACAAAAATAATTGAAAATTCTCCACTTTTATGACCTTGTAAAATATAATTTTATAATGAAATATCTCAACTTTCAAACTTCACATACACTCTGAGCAATTTTAATATTCCAACCTTGGCAAAATTGTACTCCTTTTGAATGTGAAATCCAACTCAAACAGTAGGATGTTGTGATAATGATCTGGGACTCTGCTGTCAATATAGCCTCATGTGGTTATTTAAGTTCATTTTATGTAGCTAATGTACCAGATGGTAAAGATATAGAAAGAACATTTCTATCATCATAGAAACTTCTCTTCTACGATACTGCTCTAGAAGATATCCATGGTTTTTCATAGAAATTTTGAAAGCCTAATGAGGAAAAGTTTCTGAGCTTTGCATGCTCAAGAACAATAAGGCATTCTTTTGTTATACAARACCAGAGAAGCTGTGTTCAGTACATTTTGAAAGGCTGGTGTTCTAACTACAGAAATCTTACATACTGCAGCAGATATATACAGAGGAGCTGTTTTGGTTATTCCTTTTTTCTGTGTTGAATTCCTTTATAAAACCATGTCTGTGTTCTTAAAATAGAAATCATATTTATGGACTTAAAAATAAGTCTTTAAAAACATTTGTAATTTGCCAAATCAAGTGTTATTTCTACATGTTTTGGGTGGTAAGTATTAGGTAGAACCAGAGAACTGGTTTGTTTTATTCATTTTAGAGATTTTAGGAAATTTATYAAGCAAAGGGGTTTTGTTATGGTATCCCTTAAAATACAGAAAATACTTACTGCACAGATTATATAATGTGATTTTTGTTATGTTTTATAAGGAATAATATGTTGTTATCTCCAGAAAATCCTCCAAAAGGCATGGGTTGATTTCTAAGAGACTTAAAAACATGCTAGCTCTCATAAATTTGTAAGACAATTTCCCCTAACATTTACCTATCCAATACCATGTGTTATAAAAATATTTGCTTATATCAAAAAAGTTGTGAAATGTAGTGATATGACATAAATTTCTCACTGTTCCTCACTGAGATGTTTGTTTATCTGTATTATCAATACATTCTTATTTCTCCTGAAGAATTAGTATAATTCCATGTAATGCAGAAATGTCTTAATTAGAAATAAAAGTAAACTTATGCACATGAATATCAATCAAAACCTTAGAGTTGAATAAATTTAATGACTAAAGTGCAGCTGTGTCTTGCTTTGTGAGTGGCAAATATTTGAAAAGCAACATTACAMACTATTGTTTAAAATTCATTTTTATTGCTCTCCAGTGAGCTTTGAAAACAGGATTTTTATTTAATAAGCAATATTAATTTGTATTGTATCCACTTCTTTTTCTTGAATTTTATCTTCAGCTTCATAGAATGTTTCATTTGTAGAATTTGATGCTGCATTTGAATTGAGGGCTTTGGTTTTTCTATTTAGGTTGCCTGTAAACACACAAAAAAATGAAATATTTGAAATTATAACATTAAAAATTTTGGCCTAACATTTGTGCTAAAAAAAAAATTGTAGCAGTGTTCTAAGCATGATGTCCTGAAAATACTATGTGGATGAATTAAGAAAGAGTCATTTCAAAGTTGATTTTAAATCATTCCTCTAAAAGTTATGTAAAGGAAATATTCAATCAGAGGAGTAAAAATTTAATTCCATGCTTACCTTTTTCCTTCATGCTTCTATAATGAAACTACACATTTGATAAGGAGGGAAAAATTTCTGGGTTGCTCCATCAAAGTATCTGTCCCTGTCCTATGCATAARCTGAATAATTACTTTAAAATCAATAATTATAATTTGCAACAGTATTACGTCTTTGGATCATAATCAGCTTTGATGTGAATGAGTCAAAAATGAGCAAGATAGAGGAATATGGATCTTTGCTAATCAGAAGTTTGATGAACAGAACAAAGAAATGGATCGTTATTCAATGAACAGTGTTATAAAAGTTGAATGTGGAAATAATGAATGTATGTTTTACCAATACATAAAATTTTAGATAATTAAATAATACATAAATGTGTAAGATGCAGTGGAAAAAAAATCACAGACATCACTAATGACTTCCCTGTTGCTACATTATCAGTTTAGTTCATCCTCATTTGACCTATTGGCACCATTTGACACAGTTCACTTGGCTTCCAGGATGCCCTTTCTTTGACCACCTGTTACCTATGTCAAACTATGTTCCTTTGATGACCTGCACTAGAGGTGCAGTGCTACACAATTCAGTTCACTTAGGACATGTTTAAGTATCCTAGGCACTAAAATATAAGCAAACCCTATATCCACCCAGATGTGTGTGTGTGTGTGTGTGTGTGTGTGTGTGTGTATACACAATCACCAGGGATTTAACTCAGGGGCACTTGACCACTAAGCCACAGCCTCATTTTGTATTTTATTTAGAGACAAGGTCTCACTGAGTTGTTTAGCACCTTGCTGATGCTGAGGCTGSCTTTGAACTCACGATCCTCATGTCTCAGCCTCCCGAGCCACTGGACTACAGGCATGTGCCACCACACTCAGATTTATTGATTATACTTTTGAGATACATCTGTTACTGCTTCTCAYTACCTTTAATGACACCCTTATTCTCTTTTCAGCACAATGCTCTGGGTAATCCTTTAAGAGATAAGGCAGGGGCTGGGGTTGTGGCTCAGTGGTAGACCACTCACCTAGCTGGTGCAAGGCGCTGGGTTCAATCAGCACCACATAAAAATAAATAAAGGTATAAAAATTTTTWAAAAAATAAATAAGTTATGTCTTCTCCAAACTCTCCATTTCTCCTGCGTATTCACAAAGTCSCCATGATCTCATACACATACTACCAACTCCCCAACTTTGTCTTTTTCTACTCACTACCTAGTTTACTAACCATTTTGATCAAAAATTTCAGGCATGTTCCAGCCATAGAACCTTTGTATTGACTTCACTGTATCAAGTAGCTTTTCCCCAGGCCAATTTGCACAATAACTCCTTTGTCTTCAAGTCCTGACCCAGAAGTTAGAACCTAAACATTTGAAAATTGCAGCCTATGTTCCCTCCATCTCCAATCTTCTCTGCCCTTCATTTCCCAAAACACTTATTTTCTAATATAGCTTACTGATTTATTGTTTTATTATATACTGTCTCTCATTACTTAAAATGTAACATGCCAAGGGATGTTTAGCTATTTTGTTCATTCCTATATCTCGACATTCATGTCTAGAAAAATGCATGTAGCTGGTGTTCAACAAATTTAGTTTAAGTGAAATTAAAAGATTGAAAGTTCACAATAATAAAAACTTTAAAATTGTGGGTGGCAAAAGACAAAATGGAAAACCAACTAGGAAACATTGTTTAGAACAAATGATGCAAGTCTGATATACTAACTCTTACATGTGAATACATAAAACAGTAAAACCTCTTAGTGGATAAAGAAATAGATAATACATGATGGCTCCTAAACATGAAAAACCTGCAATCTTGCTAATTAAAATAGTAAATTTAAAAGGTAAGATGATTTTTCATCTTTCAATTGGGCACAGATTTTTAAAAAGTAATTCTTGATGAAAGGTATAGCATGATGAGAGTGTAAATCTATACATCTGAAATCTGAAATGCTCCTGTGATCCAGTTTTATATGAAATTCCCAAGAAAAACATTGAAAATTAGATCAAAAAGTTCTACATATGCACAAAGATGCTCACTAATTATTTTCAATTTTTTAAAAACAGCACCTTAAATTTCCAATAGGGGGATTTTTAGCTAAAGGACCATGCATGAGGTCTTATGCAGCCATTTAATTTTAAAAGGTGGCTTCCAAGAAAATGATCAAAGCACAGTGTCAACTGAGAAAGTATGCATCATTATCAACAATATCATAGCAGTCGACATTTAGACTCACAAAGCACCAAGAGCTGACAGCTTAAAACTCTTCAGGGTCATATCTAAACTTGGTTTGGCTATAGATCTGGCCCTGCTTACTTCTCCTGGCTCAGCCTCCGCACTGCCATTCTTATACTTGGCATTTCAGTATACACAAGTATTTCCTTGCACTTGCCTGGCATGTAGGCACAATCTATCTATCTAACTCTCCCCACCACCTTCAGCATTCTAGTGTCCCTTATTCTCCAGCAACCAGACTTTAGAAAATCTGTCCAGACCTGCCTAAGAGGAAGTCCAATGGACAACACTCCCTATTCTATTAGGTAAGTCACTACTACATTCTCCCCCAAGCTCTTGCCCCTTACTGGGGATTGCACCAGAGCACTTAACCACTGAGACCTTTCTATTTTTTATTTTGAGACAGGATCTCACTAAGTTGCTTAGGGCCTCACTAAGTCACTGAGGTTGGCCTGGAATTTGTCATACTCCTGTATCAGCCTCCAGAGCTGCTGGGATTGCAGGCATATACCAACATGCAGGGCTCAACTAGCCTTTTTTCAATTGTTTTTCTTTGGGTAAGTCTAAGCCTCACTTTAGATATGTTAATACTTCCTGGCTCTGCTCATTTCAAAACACCTGCTTTCTGTAAGTAAACTGCTTTTTGTAAGTAAAAAAATACTTTCCTATAAGTAAACAACTTTCTAGGGTCAATCAGGATTCCCCCACTCTGGGGCAATTCTATGGTTCATCACTCAAAGGGCAATATTATTTACAAATTTTGAAGGATGATGTCTYACTGCAGCTCTCAGATTCAGTCCATAGATCTGAAACATGAGTATAGATCTTTGGGATGGGTATTTAAAATATTGTAAATTTAATATCCAGAGTCTAGAGTAGTATGCTATATGGTTTTATTACATTATTTCTGAACTTTTTTGGTGGTAAAATGTTATTTAATGTTCTACTTCCAAACATCCATCATAATGTCTAACCAATAATTTTAGATTTTTTTAAAGCTAATTTGTTATAGGTACAAGATTCTTTATCCTGAGAAATAGCCCTTTGCCCAATAACAAGCTTTTTAAGATAAATGTAGTAGGGAAAGCTGGCATGAAACTTAGGAACTGGAAAATTCTTGGCTTTTTTTTTTTTTAACAAAGTAGACTGAAACATACATTAGATTCAAATTTAGTCACGAAACTCTTAAGAATGGAATATATTCTATATAGTGGTCCTTGAAATTATTTATCATAATATTTGAAAACCAAAGTGAACCTTTTCACCAAGATGGTGCCAAAAGAGAAGCTGGAAGCTACTGCCCTTTCCCAAAGCCAAAGCAAAGGTCTTGAAGGCCAAAAAGGCAGAAGGTATCCTTAGTGTCTCTCTCTCTCTCCCCACGCCCCCCCCCTCTCTCTCTATCTCTCTCTCTCTCTCTCACACACACACACACACACACACACACCACACACCACACACACCACACACACCACACACCACATACACCACACAAAGATACATCACTCACCTTCTAGTGGCCAAAACAACTGCAGATGTGGAGGCTATCCAAATACCCTTATCTTGGCAGAAAGAAGCTTGACCACTGTGCCATCAAGTTCCCTAGCCCCTGAGTGGCTGATGAAGAAGGTGAAGACAACTAGCAACAGCTCAAATAAGTTGTCAAGAAGCTCTGTGACTGATGTGGCCAAGACCAACACCCTGGTCTGGCCTGGTGGAGACAAGAAGGCCTATGTCCCACTGCCTCCTGATGCTTTGAATCTTTCCAACAAAACTGGGATGATYTAAACAGAATCCAGCTGGCTAATTCTAAATATCCACTTTTTCACTATTATTTTAAAAAGAAAAAGACATGAATTAAGATATTTATGGGATATTTTTTGCTTGCTTAGCATTGTTTTTACTCTTCAGTATCATAGCAGGTAAGGATAAAGAATACAACATCTAAATTAGTGTCATACTATCTATGGTAGCCTTTGTATCTTATTCTCGCATTTGTTTCAACATCTAAATTTTTAATCTTTTGAAATTCCTGAAAGCCTGAAAAAATGTAGTGTTTTTTAAATCAATTCCTTCATTTTTCCTAAGCTTTTTATATATACTTAAATTCATAATATTTTCATCAGACTTCCAAGTGTTTTTTCCTACTTCGTCAAATCCAGGTTTTTGTCATCACTATTATTTAATGGGAAAAAAMCTGAGCATAACTTCCTAACCTTGTTATTTGGGGTTTCTCTTAAAGTTGTCTCCATTCTAACAGCTCTCGTCTCCACTMTGTATTTCTCTAACAACTGAAGGAATTTCTTGAACCATCTACTGCCCTGTGAGGTTTAAAGGTTTTCAAAATACATTCCAGTATTATCAATTTTCCTTCATCTAGTTCTTATAAAGACTCTCATTCTCCAATCCCACTTCCTTATTTACGTGGCTACTGGATCCTTCCAGTATCAGATACAAAGATAATTTCTTGTTTGGCTTCTTAGGCCAAAGCAGTTCTCCCAGCAAAACCAATTTGCTATGCGAACAAGAAAATACTTCTTAAATAAACATTC